AATTTCTTCCAAAATCAATGAACGCCTAATTTTAAATAAAACCTTTCAAAATGATTTGCCATTTAATAATAAAATAATTCCGTCCTAATCGAACCTCATCGGTCCAGTTTTTTATTCGTCGACTATATCTTCCCTTCAGTGTTGTTTAAAAAAACAATTTCAGCAACAATCTCGCCGACTTAGTAAGTAAATATTTTTCTCCTAATTGCTATTAGTTGCTATTTTAATAATTGTTTCCAGCTCCAGACGATGAAGATAAAATTCTTCGAAAGCTTGAGAATTTAAGTTATAATCTACTTTTGCAATACTTTGCCTTCTACCCAAAGAAATTCCTGGATATATATATATATATATATATTAACTGTTAGGAGAAGATACCCTTTAATTTCTTTGGGTAGAAGGCAAAGTATTGCAAAAGTACACTCTTATAACTTAAACTCTCAAGCTTTCGAAGATCTATGGTTTCATCGTCTGAAGTAAGTCGGCGAGATTGTTGCTGAAATTGTTTTTTAAACAACAGTGAAGAAAACACATAGGTGACGAATAAAAAACTGGACTCATGGTGTTTGATTAGGACGGAATTATTTTATTATTAAATGGAAAATCATTTTGAAAGGTTTTTTTAATCAAATGTTAATTGATTTTGGAAGAAATTTGGAAATTTTAAAACTATGAACTATTGAAAATTCCTTCGAGATTTCATCTTTTTTTCACTGATAACATTATCCAACAACAACATCATCGAGGTACAATTTGGGCTACACACTGTCAGACTGATGACGATGAAGACATAGATCTTCGGAAGCTTCAGAGTTTAAGTTATAAGAGTGTACTTTTGCAATACCCCAAGAGATTAAAGGATATTTTCTCCTAACAGTTAAGGCAATTAACTATGAATACTATATATATATCATAAATTTGTACATCTGCGTATAATTTGTCAGTGGGATAAAGTTTCAGTTTCTTGAACTTCATTTCTAGAATACCCTTTTAAAACATACCTAAATTATAGATGTATGATGAACATGCTAATATATACCTAATATGTGAGATGAAGCTCAATCAGTGTATGGTATAATGTACGGAGTATACTTGCAAGGTATTTAATTTTGTATTATACAAATCGAAATTTCTTTAAAATATAATTGACCCAACGTAATGAAGAAACATGTATCAATAATTATTTTACGCGCTTTATTTAATATCAGCTTACATGCCATTTGAAGATACATGTGAACTATCTAATTCGTCAATCAACTTCCACCAGATTACATTTTTTTGGCTAACACATCCTTACATCAGATATCCATGTAACTAGTGAAGAAGGGAAATGTAACTTTAGAAGAGATACATCCTTTGTATACTGTTTATTTGGTTAGGCTCAAGTATTTTGTTCATCTGTAATGCTCGAGCAAAATAGAGGAAGTTTGGCCCGAGTTTTTAATCAATAGCAGCTATATCTCCGATTTTCTCAAAAGATACTAAAATACAGCCTTTTACAACAGCTATTCAAAAATGTTTACGATATCGCTGAAATACAATATTTCACCTTCACCAGGTGCGTTTTCAATCTTCGTTGTTCAAAAGCTTTTGAACCGATTCTGATGGCACTAGAGGAGATTTGCAAACTGGGTGGTAACTTAACTGAAAAAAAATATGAGGAATCCAAAAGCAACTTGTCTCTCGCCTCAAGAGGATTAATCAGGCAAGGACAATCTGTAGCATCAAAATACAGGGTGGAAAGCATATAACTGACTGACTTAAATTACGCGCCATTTTTGATACACGCATTTCAGTAGATGGCGCCGTAGTAGTTGTTCAAAGCACACGTATCCAATTCATCATGGAGCGCTACACAATCTCACAACGTGTCCGTATTTTTTTAATGTTCTACTTAAATAATGGGTCGATTGTTGCAACGATTCGGAAGCTACGACAAGATTTCGGTCGAAATAAAGTACCCAGTGTCAGCTCCATTCGTAAGTGGTTGATACGTTAATTTGAACAAATAGGTGAAGTTAAAGACTTGCGAGGGTCGGGCCAAGTTCGAACTTTTGTACTCCGGAATATATCGAGAGAGTTCGTGAAAGTGTAGTGAAGCGCTCTGAGATGTCTACCAGACATCGTTCTCAAGAAGTGGGTACTCGTCGCACGTGATTATGCACTATTTTTAAATAAAGACTTACATTTGCGGCCATACGAAATTCAGTTAACCCAAGAACTGCCTAGTGACCATAAAAGTCGCCGACAATATTGCAGTTTTATACCCAAAATAACGATTTTTAGCGACAACTGATAATGAGAGATGAAACCCACTTCGATATGAACGGATTTTGTAATAAGCAGAATTGTCGTATCTGGGCATTAGATAACTCTCGTGTCATCCTTCAACGATGCCTACAACCTCGTCGAGTCACAGTTTGGTGCTGTGTTTGGTATGGAGGTGTCAATGGACCTTACTTCTTTGAAGACGCTGCAGGGGTTTCCTTACAGTCAGCGCTACCGTGATATGGTGCAAAACTTTCTGGCTCCACAAATCCAACAATTTAACCTGCAAAACATGTGGTTCCTGCAGGACGGAGTAACTTGTCACATAGCTAGGGAAACAATGAATCTTTTGCGACCAATATTTCGTTTAATTTCTCGATTTGGTGGTGTCAACTGGCCACCAAGGTAACCGGATTTAACGGCTCTTGATTTTTTTATGGGGATTTTTGAAAAATATGGCTTATGCCAACAAACCGAATACTGTAGAGCAGCTGAAGAATAATATTACGGTAGCGATTCCTCCCGAAACCTACCAAAAGGTGATGGAAAATGTAATCAAGTGGGCTCAGATTTGCGCGGCTTCTAGGGGCGGACATTTGTCTGATATTATTTTTCATGCATAACTTCTAAGTCTCAATAGAAGACTAAGTTGAAAATATGGATGTATTTGATCTCATTTCATAAATATTCAAGATACAAACCAGTCAGTTACATATCAGCCACCCTGTGTCTACGTATTTATGTCAGTAAAAACAACAGCATGGTGTGATGATATTGCAAGAGCGGCTTAGACTTTTGGAGGTATGACTTTTGCTACAACCGCAGTAACTTAATTTTTAATATTAGTAATTTTCCGTTTTTTCAAAACCTAGGTATCACTGTGCATCCTATCTCCCTTATCGAGTAAGACTGCAAATGCTGAATAAATCTGAACTGACGTTCAGTATACCACTAGAGCCGTATTCAAATGTATAAAGTCATAAAACTTTTCGACACGTCTTCACATTTCTTAATTGTATGCCCTTCAAGTATCAGAATTTAATAATAGATTACTAGTTTTCAACCGTCAGTGCTGCATGTACATTAGTTATAGACCTAACATGCGAGAACTAATATCGACTTTTCAAAAAGTAAAAGCATGCGAACATTTGCCACACAGCCACCAATTATTCTGAAAATTATTAGGAGGTGGAACATGAAGAAACGAAGCTTGAACGTTTTCTATTTTTATTTGTATTTTATTTGTAGCTCCGCCGACACTTAATCGATTTAAAAGAATATACAAAGCTTCCGTTCTTGGCACAGTAGTAACTCAAATGTCAAATTTTTGTCCGATATTTTCCAAATTATAGGGGGGGGGCAATGACTGTCGGACGGACCGGCAGAGTTGAGTTATAGTTTTTTTTGATGCCGTGTGACGTCAAAAAAGATAATACATCAGTAATGATTTTTTTTTGCGGT